GAAAAAAAAAAAATTAATTTTTTAAGATATATTTATTTGATATTCATCTAAAATTAAAAGATTATAATAAAAAACATAACTTCCTTTTTTGAATAAAGTATAATGATATACTTCCTACAAGTGCACTTTATATTTAACTAATCCTTCTTTATTATATTTAATTTTATTCTCTAATATGAATATGTTAAAAATGGTAAAAGAGCAAATAAAATCCATTATTATAAAATAATAAAAATTACTTATAGGAGGAAACAAAAAAGGCTAAAGTTTTTAAAGTAAGCATTTGAATAATAAAACAATACAAAAAAAAAAAAAAAATTAAATAATGATAAAAAAAAAAACTTTTAGTATGTATAATTATTACATAATTATAAAACAAAAACTTAAAAATGACATAAAAAAAAAAAATAAAAATAAAAATGTATTTATAGAATATGTTTCTATTTTGTTGTGATATTTATTTTTCGTTTATACCATAATCCTTCTAATGTTTAATTTAAATTATCATAACGTTTTTTATTGAATTAGTAACCACTGTCGTAATAAATTCAACAAAGATAAAGTTGCATGGTTTTAATAAATAATTTTTAAAAAAAGAAAAATAAGTAAAAAAATATATAAAAATAAAAAAAAAAATTTGAAAGCTCTATATAATTGTATATACATATTTATGATTCAATATAAATGCATATTAAGTACATTTAACTAATACCTCGAACAAAAATAAAGCAAATTCATATATATATATATATATATAATTATTTACTACATAACCATTTATACAAATAAAATGTTGTTTTATATTTATTTTTTTTTTTTTTATATTCTTTTATTTTTTACTTTTTTGTTTTACATTTTTTTTTTTATTATTTAATTTTTTTTTTTTTTTTTTTTTTTTTGAAACATTTTTTTGATTTAACACATTTTTGATTTAAAAAAACTTACTCTAAAGTTACTTGCTTAAGTTCCTTTTCCATAATTAATTATAATTTAAAAATTTTTTATATATTATTATAGTAACTTAGAATGTTTAATGGAAAAAATATTAAAATAATATAAAGAATAATATATATTATATATATATATATTTTACTTTAATAATCTTTTTTTAGCTTGAAATAATTTTAATTTTGAAAGATAAAGTATATTTCTACATCCTCTAATAACATATGATTAAAAATATCTTTTTGAAGATGTAAATTAAAAAAAAATATATATATTTTAAAAATATAATTATGTATGGATATTTGTAATAACAAATTATTCTTAATATAAAATAAAATATTAATATATATATATATATATTTAAAATAAAAAAAAAAAAAAAACTAGAAAATTTTCAAAAGGTTTCGTTTTTTTATTAATTTAAAACTTTTATAATGTTATATAATACCAAAAAAAAAAAAAAAAAAAAAAAAAAAAAAAAAAATAAAAAAAAAAAAAAAAAAAAAAAAAAAAAAGGTTTAAAAAAAAATTTTTTTTTTTTTTTTTTTTTTTTTTTTTTGATATAAATAATATAATTTTAATTAATGTTAGTGCTAATATTCTCAATTTAATCTTATTTTACTTTATTTTTTTTCAGAAAGTCAGAAAAACCCCCCAAAATAAATGATTAAGATTTGATTTATAAAAATACTGTTTTTTAAGAACATTTTAGAAAAAAATAACTTAAAATATTTATTTTTGAAATGCAATATCCCTTTTTTTTTCTTATTATTTTTTCTGTTTACTATACTGTAAAAAAGGTTATTGTCATTTACAACTTTAAACTTTATTGCATATATTACAACATTCACATTGTAGCTTAATCTGTTTACATATTATTTGATCATAATTAGTTTTATATTTTAACAATTCTTTATAATTTTTTTTTTTTTTTTTTTTTTTTTTTTTTTTTTTTTTTTTTTTTTTTTATTTTTTTTTTTTTTTTTTTTTTTTTTTTTTGCGCTCATATCCTGTTCTTAATATTCACATAATTGTACTAATTATTTATCATTTATTCAGTTAATGTGTTTTCTTTTTTATTCTTTTTAAAAAATAAAAAAAAATAATTTTAAAATCATAAGCAAACAAAATAACAAATTTAGGTATTAATAATGTAAAATAAATAATATATAACAGAAATATTATCTTTTTTTTTTTTAATATTTTTAACATAAAAAAAATATAATAAAATGAAGCGAAGTAATATGAAGGGTATTTGACAAAAAATTAACTTTTTAAATGAAATAGAAAAAAAAAGGTAGCCAAGTAATACAAAAAAAAAAAAAAAAAAAAAAAAAAGAGAAAATTTTTTGAAAATTTGTTTGGATGAATGGAAAAGTGACGAAAGATTATATGGAAATATAATGGAAAAAAATAGTACAATGTATATAGAAGAAAGTAGTATTATTGTATTAGAAAGACAAAAAATGTTTTCCAGCAAATTGATAGAAAGACATGAGAAAATGTTGGAAAAATGGAGGACAGAAGATTGGTTTAATAGTTTAATGGAGGAATGGAAAAAAGAAGAAAATATACATGTAGGAACAATAGATAAAAGAAAATTCATTGAAGGAACATATAATATAGAGAAAAATATTGAATTAGAGAAGAAAAATGAACTATGGAGTCAATGGATAAAGAAACAAAGAAGATTATTTACCCAATATGAGAAGGAAGCATTGTTTAATAAGCTGTTAGACGAGTATAATCAGGAAGAAGATAAGTATGAAAGAGAAGATGAACAAACAATAGAAAAAAAAAATAATATAGATAACATTGAAAGGGATCCAAAAACAGTTGATATAAAAGATGAGGTTAGTGAAAAGATAGAGAGGATAAAATTGATATCTAAATTGTGGATTGAAATATATATGATGATATTGGATCAGTGCATGCAAGAAGAAATAGAGTATATGAAAAAAGTTTTTTTCAGCATTCTGTACACAGCATGTCTGTAAAAGACTACATTTTCAGTGGTGACTATACAGTCATAGTACTACTGTTGTCCATCATGTATGTGAAATCTCTGAAGGACAGTCACTTGAGTCAGATATCAATCAGCTCAAATTGAATTATAGGATTTTACACCCACTGAGAACTTTCATGCTCATCTTTTCATTTAGAAAGTAGTCAGTCATTTAGAAATATTCCAGCTAGCAAAAACATAAGTTTTTTTGTTTCTATTTTTTAGAAAATCAAGACAAAATATTGAATAAGGTGTTTTTAAACAGCCCATATTGTAACCCCATTAAACAACCCCATGGACCTGAAAACAGCCATTTAAAAATCAGGACTACAGAGCCCTTTTTAAACTCTGACAGTCTGGATTTCTTTTAGCAAAATATGTAACTTCTGATTCTCAATTTACCTGTCTGCAGTCTAGGAGTAAAGCTTTATCTAAAAGCTCTTTCAAGGTTTAATTAGTGAATGCCTGTTTTACAGCTAGTTGAGAACCTCACATAAAAGATTCTATAGAAGTGTAAAGTTTAATATAATAAATAATATAGCGTAAATATAAAGAATTTAAAAATATTAACTAAAAAATTTTTTTTTTTTTAAAATTAAAAATAGTAATAAGATATATATTTTTTATAAAGCTTGCTTTTTTAGTGAAATAACGAAATTATTTCTGTAATAGAGAAAATTGTGTGAAGTTTCTAAATAAATGATAAAAATAAACTACAATTATAGAAAATTAATTTATTTAATATTAATGTATGAATTTAAAAATAATTATGTTTATTCTGAATGAATTAAAGATTCAAAGATATAAAAAAAATTTTAAAAAAAAAATTTTTTAATTTTTTTTTTAAATCATAATAAAAGTAAAAATAAGTGTAATGATAAACATATTATATTGGTGAATATCATGATTATCGAATATTACAATTGTTTAATGTTTTTTATATTAATAAATTATGTAATTTAATTTGTATCAATTCGAAAAGTGATTGTGCCATAATGACTATTTATATCGTAAAATACATAAATTGATTTAATATTAATGCAGGATGCTTATAAATAATATGTAATTAAGATAATGTATATACGTTATAGTTATAAAAAGTTATTAACATAAACAGTTTTAACATACAACCACTAAAATATATTTGATAAAAAATTTATGTTATATAGCAATAAATATTGAAGAAAATTAAAACATGGTATTATAATCTTACTTACATTTATGGGTATAATGGTAGTTTTAATGAAAACAATAATAAAAATCTATAACTTATCTTGGCCAAGAGATAGACAGAAATGGTATAAGACCATCATTAGATAAGGTGAAAACATTTATTGAAGCAGAACAACCTA